AGGCCACCGCTAGTAGGTTGGAGGCCATCCCTAGTGGATTGGAGGCCATCCCTGGTAGTTGGAGGCCATCCCTAGTAGTTGGAGGCCATCGCTAGTAGGTTGGAGGCCATCGCTAGTAGGTTGCAGGCTTCAAAAGTCTGCCCTCTTTGCTAAAAATTAGCATTTCATTTCACGGCACTCTCAAGAACACTAGTAGTAACAAGTGACGAATTTAATTTTGTTACTACCAGTAAGGCACTTGTTACTAGTAGTAAGGCACTTGTTTCTAATAGCTAACATTGTTACTACTAGTAAGGCACTTGTTACTAGTAGTAAGTCAGCTTGTATGGCACTTGTTACTAGGTAAAGACATCATGTATCCCTTGTTTAGAGCTGCAAAGCATGTTTCGGTCCTGAACACCTCCTTGGGCTAAGCCCAGGGTCCCACACTCAAATCCAGAGATCTCCACTTTCCTCAAATCAGCCCAAGGGGTCATTCTTCTGCATCGCTACTAGTAGCTTCTTGTTACTAGTAGTACTGCACTTAGCTACTAGTAGCTTCTTGTTACTAGTAGCGATGCAACTTGCTTCTTGCTACTAGTAGCTTCTTGCTACTACACGGTGGTTTTCTTCCTGTTGCTAAGCTAGCTACTAAGCTACTCTTCAAACTCTAGACATGACAAACATGTCCCAGCAACCAAGCTGCTATTGGCCTCTATACATGAGCCCCTCCATACAAGCAAAGAAAGAAATCGCATGGTCTTCCCATGTTACTACACATGTTGCATTTGTGATAAGGAAGAAAAGTAACGAAAACAGAGCAATCTGAAGGTTTTTAAAGTCTACATGTCTAAAGCAATTGAGGGACTGGATAACCCGACGTGTGAAGCTTTTGGCTTGAAACAAATCGAGACAAAAGCAGTTGAGTGTATGCGGATGATGTATATAAAGAGGTGTGAACTTTGATCGTGAGCGTATACTGTATGGAGGAAGTGAGTGAGCGAGCTCTTTAAAGCTCAGCCGCAGATCTTGGCCATTCTTAGGCCTTAAATCTCCTTGAAATGTACTGCGTACCGCATTGAAGGAACAAGAAGCTACTAGGAGCAAGGGCATCGCTACTAGGCGCAAGGACGCTACTAGGGGCTCTTGGCCTTACTACTAGAAACAAGAACCTACTAGGGGCTCCTGGCATCGCTACTAGGAGCAAGGACGCTACTAGGGGCTCCTGGCCTTACTACTAG